GGAGTTCAAGATTTGTAGCATTTTAGGTGTAAGGTTACTACGCAGCAATCTAGCATGTTGCTTTTGCAACAACAAAACGAGTGTTATATTGCTACGTACTTTACATCAAAAATAAATATGCAAGCTCATACGATGTTGTTACAAGTGTGTAAATATATAAATAAAATTAAAAAAAAAAAAAAAATGTAATATACCTAAGCGAAAGGAAGAATTAATTCCGTGTCTAAGTTCCAATGTTGTACACAAAAAAATTAAGGAAGAATTAAAAATAATAAAATTAATCCAAATATCGCCTGAAGCGATAAGAAAACGTCGCATTCAGGCAATAAGAAAACGACTCCCCCAGGCGAGTTGCCTTCGGCGGACGTTTTAGAGCAACTGGCAATAAGAAATCGATACGATGGCGATATTACCGTCGATAAATTTGTCTCCGAGGCCACGTTTTCTTATTTCCGGCAACAAAAGTTTGTTGGTGGGGTGTATTTCATGCTGTTGTTTTTTTTTTGTAACACCGGGGTTTTTTTCTTGCAACTAGGCACAAAACAACGCGTGCAGAAACCAATACTCAGACTACATGCCGTACATTGTAGTTTTTTCATGTCCCTTTTAAACTGTTTTTAATCTGGACGAGTTACGAATAAACCCAAGCACCGCCTCCTCCTCTGCAAGGTAGGATGGGCAAAAGGAGTTGTCATGTACGGCTATCACAGTCAGATGTTTGTGCCACCGTCCAACAAGTTGTCTGCAGTCCCGTCTGCTCGGTGAGAGCAAAAAACTAGAGATTGAAGGCAACATGTGTTTGGCCCACCTGCAGTCCCTCGATGCCTCCCAGTCATTGCTAAGCGAAGTATTCACGCAGTTTCTGATGGTGGTTTCAATGGCCGAAGGTGGGAGTGCTATAACTGGTTACGGACCGAGAAACACCTGGTCTGAGCCAGTTCTGGCCAAATGGTTAAATGTCGCATTACCAGGTACTCCCGAGTGACCTGTCGCCTAGTAGTTACGAGGGCTGGACAATGCCGTAAGTGCAGGTTGGCTATCACTATTTTCCACCACGTAGTCCATGGCCTTGAGGATTGGAAATACCTCAGCCTGGAAGACCGAATCATAATCCCTAAGAGAAAAGTGAAGCATATCCCTATTAACTTCGACGAAGACCCCAGAGCCAGACTCAGAGTCAGTTTTGAAGCCATCAGTGAAGATTCGATAATGTGTGAGTCCGGGCTCAGTGCTGTTATTAAACCAACATTAAGCCTCAGGGAATTCAACATTATAGAATACTATAACTATCCTGTGGCATTGAAAAGACACAAGTGCTCAGATCTCTGCCGTCAGCAATTTCCGCCTCACCCCACTCAGTCTGTTATACCAATATCCGTTTCTTTTTAATCCACAGGTGGCCTTTAAGGCTTCCCCACATATGAAGACGCAAAGTGACGATAAGTGCAGCAGTTTTAAGACTGCAACTGTTTTAAGAGAACTATGAAGTTAATGCAAATTCGTATTCAAATCATTTTTATTGCAAAATATTTTGTATATACCTGTGCCCTTTAATTAAAGCAGCCTAAGTCGGGGTAGAAGCTTAGTAAAAAAGTAAAAATAACAAATAAGGTCTTACTTTTTCGATAAGAGTTGCCACCTTTAATAACTTATATTCAAATTATTGAAAAAAAATCAATTGTTATAAAATGGGTTTTGAAAAGCTTTGGTTCTGTAGCTGAACTATAGGAGGGTTGCCACCTGTTTAAAAAATCATATAAGGTAAAAAAATATGTATCACCATAAAGGTACCAAACGAAAGGGGTTTCAGAAAGTAGTAGTTTAAAAGTATTTTGAAGAAGGTTGCCATCTGCTTGAAATGTCGAACTTAATTTACTTATACACAAGTTATATGAAACATCAAAATATGGATATCAAACGAAGGAGTGTTAAGAAATATCTAGTTTGAACGCTAGAATATTTTTGATGTGTTGAAAAGTTAAATTCAAATTATTTAATAAGTTAAATGAATTTTTAAAATATGGATATCAGTCGAAGGGATTTTGCAAAACTTTTATTTCTAAACTGTACTTAGCGTGTCTCGCAATGTCAGGCGAAGGAGAGTTAACAAGGATTTAGCTTCAAAATACTTTTGAAGAGGGCTGCCACCTGTTTGAAAGGTCTAACTCAATTAACTAATACAAAAAGTATATGAAATATAAAAATACCGTAGTCAAACGAAAGAATGTTAAGAAATCTTGAGCTTGACCATTTGGAATGTTTGAAGAGGGTTGCTACATGTTTGAAAAGATACATTAAAAATTTTCAATTATTTAGGAGTGTTGCCATTTGTTCGAACAATCAAATTCAAATTAATTCAAAGAGCTTTAAGAAGATTTTTTTACGGTTTCTGAGCTACACATCCTAAATCTGAACGATATGTCTAAATTGTATATGCATATGTATATCTTAAAAACACTATGACTTTATCTGCAAAAGATATCTGAATTTGAGAAATTTTATCGAGATCGTTCCATATAAATCCTTATACCTCGTAACAAAACGGTATGTAAAATAAATAAAAATTGCGCATTAATAGCGGACGGATTGCTCCTTTAGATGGGCTAAAATGTACGACGATTTTGAAGGAACAAAAAAATTTACACATTCCTAAGTATATTTGATGATTAATTCTTCATTTTTTGGGTACATTAAACTTTGAACGCAAACAAACTTGACTACGACGCATTAGGTTATTGTAGTATTATCCGGCAAGTTGTTAAAAATTTATTAGCAGTGAGATTTATTACCCACGATGATAAGTCAACTCAACATAACTTTGCAATTTCATCTTTATCTTCAACGTTAATGCACTGAAAACCTTAAAATGACTTCTCATCTACCAGTACATTTTATTGCAACGAGCTTAAACAAATTAGTACACATACACAAAGTACATAGAATATGGTTATAAATAAATAAAAGTATTAGAAGACACAATCATAGCATTCCAAAAGATTACTGCGTCAGCATATTTAAATGTTTGGACAAGCTTTACTTCTCATTTGTGACAAATGTTTTGATGCTCCACAAATGCATAATCACACAGGTTGTATGCCTCCCCAAAAGATGTAAACTTATAACGGTAATCTAGGACTAGCCGCTTGTTGATCACTCCGGATCGTTATTTTTTTGTAGTTTATCTGCCAATATGCATTTTCCCACTTAGAATACAAATACTCCACTTAATATGTATGTATGTAAGTATATATTATTTTTATTTAAAAGATTTGAATATTGTCCAATTATGTATGTAATTTGCAGACACAGAAATAATTCAAAATATATACTTTTATCAGTATTTATTCTGTGACTGCAATTATAGACACGCTTATGACTAGGCTTGACCTCTAAACAATTAATGATTATAAAAACAAACAAAAAAAAACAATCGCTTATCGCAGATCTGTGTTCATTTTATTATATGTATGTACATACATACATGCATAGGTATGTGTAAGCTGTGCCACCAACGAACCAGAGTTAATACTACTGATAACAAATGGAGGGCTTGACTTCCAATGCTAATAGTATATGTATGCTCAGGAGAGTTTAGCTTTCCAAACAGATATTCTATGTAATCTGTAAATATTCAAGTTCATTTTTCATTTAGGAGATTTCATCACATATATGTAAATACAATACACTGTGAAAATCGAGATTCATAATTTCGTAATTAATTCAGTAGACTTGTATTTCTGTATCCGCGGAATAAATTAGTTAGTAGCCACATAATTAAAAGCTTCTAATTTTTAACTGCCATTCGAGATTCGTTTAGTTTTAGTTACAGAGGAATATCATAATTAGTTATTTAATTTTTTGTTTTGTTCATATAAGGATAATAAATATCTGGTATTGGGACAAATGTCTCTTTTACGGCCTGCAATGAAGCCCAACGCAACAGATAAAATGGGCATCCGGCTTTATCGTTTGTTCCCGATTGGCGTGCACCGCCGAATGGCTGTTGGCCAACAACTGCACCAGTCGATTTATCATTGATATAGAAGTTGCCGGCGGCGTCCTTGAACTCGTCTAACGCTTGTTTCAAAAATGATTCATCCGTGGCAAACACGCTACCAGTTAATGCATATTTGGTGGTGTTCCTAACCAAATCAATAGTCTTCTTCAAATCGCCATCCTTATAAACATATACCGACAACACTGGCCCAAAGATTTCATCGCGTATAACACGCTTGTGCGGATCTTTCACTTCAACAATGGTTGGTTCCACAAAGAACCCTTCTACATTCGACAAATTACCACCAGCCAATACAGTGCATTCGGGATCTTCCTTAACCTCGTTAATAAATCCCGAAATTCGTTGGAACGAGTTGTCATCAATAACAGCCGAATAAAATGTATCAACTTCGCAGGCGTCACCCACTTTCAACTTCTTTACTTTTTCAATCAACGGCCCTTTGAACTGCGATTCCCATAGTGATTCAGGGACATATAGGCGAGAGCAAGCCGAACACTTCTGTCCACCATATTCGAAAGCCGAACGAATAGTTTGTGCAACGGCTGTCTCCACATGCGCTGATGGATGAATAAAATGGAAATTCTTGCCACCGCACTCACCAACCAAGCGCGGGTAATTTTTGTAATCATCAATTTTGTTGGCTACCAACTTCCACAGAGTTTTGAAAGTCGCCGTGGATCCTGTGAAATTGATGCCAGCCAAATCGGGAGAACTTGTTATAGCATCACCGAAGTTTTTACCTATCACATAGAGCAGATATTACAACAATACACAATACAAATTATAGGTAAAAATTAAATTTTTTTTATCAAATTACCAATGGCTGGCACGAAGTTTACTACACCATCGGGTACACCGGCTTCACGCATTATCTTGAACACCGTCCAGCTGGAGAGCATCGCCGTATCGGACGGTTTCCACAACACGCTGCAACCCATTAGTGCTGGGGTGTAGGCCAAATTGCCACCGATTGCAGTGAAATTAAAGGGAGTTATAGCTGCTACAAAACCCTCTAACCCACGGACACGTAAATGGTTTTTGGTGACATCTGGAGTGGGGCTAAGCGGTTGATCATTGGCCAGCTGCTTCAAGTAACCAGCATTCATGCGCGTGAAATCGATTAATTCAGCACCAGAATCAATTTCGGCTTGTATAACAGTTTTTGATTGGCCCAACATGGTAGTTGCTAGAAGATCTGCACGGTATTTTTTGGACATAAGATCAGCTGCCCGCTCCCATATTTCGATACGCTTGGTGAGAGGAGTCCTATCCCATTCCTTTTGCTTTTTGACTGAAGCTTGAATTGCCTCCTTTATGGTGGCATCATCAGCATAGTAATACTTGGCAAGTTTATGACTTTTCCTGTGTGGAATAACCTGATATACCTCCTTGCCCTTCCTTATTTCCTTACCATTTATAACAATGGGTATGTCTTCGCAGTTATTTTGGTATCGCTCAAGAGCGTTCTCCAATTTTTTAATGTCATCGGAACCGGATAGGTATTGCGGAATTGGTTCATTATATATGCGAATGTCAGTAAATTTTTCTGACGATAATACTGAGTTTGTCAATTTAGCCTCGGAAATTTCCGCTTGCCTCGCTTGGCTTGATGAAGCACGGGAAGAGATTTTTAACGCATTTTCGATATTTATTTGAACTGCACTACGTCTAGCAGTAAACAATAAGCGGGGCCACATATTGAAGCTGTTGTCTAAAAGATTGTAATTTGATAAATGAATAAATTAACTTGCAAATTTGTATAAAGAAAAAAACCAACTTGAGTATTATCACGTAATCCGTAAGCAAACACTGCAGAACAATAGATATGAACAACGAATTAAGAACGATATGTATCTACTATTCTTTACTATTCGCAAATAATCTACAAAGAAAACACTAACAAAAAGTGGGCAATTGGCACTGGCAATGCTTTGCGACAACAGCTGAGTTGGCAGTCAGTGATGTGTAAATGCAACCGTAAAAATGGTTGCAAATTTCTTGTTTGATGTTCGACTTGGTAAAACATTTCTACTGACTTTATGGAATATATTTTATTGTGTGTTCCGTCAATGTTAAACATATAGGAATTATTTTGTTGAAAAAGGTGATTTTAACGGAAATTCTTCAGCAATTTACGTAGAAATGGCTTTAAATTTTTTATAACACTTTGTCGGTGTAGTAACAATTACATTGGACGCCACTGTCGTCAGCTGTTGCAAGGTCATCTGATTCACTTCAAGGTACATAAATAAAACAAAACCCAATTGGAAGTGAAAAATCAATGTTTTTCGGCTTAAAAAGAACAGGTAAAAAAACACATTCGAAGGATGCAGACAGCAAATTAAAGGATGAGAGTATTGTTTTCGATTCTGCACCATCACGTGACCTTATCAACTGGCAACTGGTCTTTGGAAAACAAACCAAAACAAAAACTTACAAAAATGTTGAAAAGTGACGCAATGAGATAGTGAAAAATGCGTTTGACTGCAATTTTATTAAAGCCCAAAGCGTCGGAGGTCTTAACGGCTTACCTTAAACAATGCAGCGAACCTCCGTGGACGTCTTATTTTGTAAAGGTATTTGCGGCACACTGGTGTACATATGATATATTCGTTGTTACTGTCTTTGCAGTTTAAAGATGTTGAGAATGATCAGCGCGGTTGGTCACACTTCAATTGGACGCTTGATACTGGAACTAATTATCACATACTTCGCACAGGATGCTATCCATATATGAAATACCACTGTAGTAAACGGGCTATTCAAGATCTCTCTTTGGAGGATCGATTTTTCCGGGTTTTGAAAGTTATAAATTTAGGTACATAAAATAGATTGCAATCCTTTTATTTTCTCCTAATATTATTTTGTTTTAATTTTCATTTTTTAGGATTGCCAATGTTGTTTTATGGGCTTGCTGCGATTCATCTTATAACTCACGAGGAATTAGTTCATTTACCAAATGGTTCTCGAATCCCTATATACTTTCTTTATGCAGAAGATAAAGGATCAATGCACTGATGCGATTGGCGTTTTTACTGTTTATGTAAAGTTAGTAGAGCTCTTAATATATTTACGCCGCTATTGATAAAAATATACATTTTTTAATTTTGAATACCTATGTACATACGTTTTATTGTAGAATGACTATACCACATTGCACCATTTTTACTTCCCTTTTTATCAGCTCGGGATGTATCTATGTAATATTGATGCGCCTAAAAGATGCAGCGATTTCTATTCTCAAGTTACATACTTGATTACAGTACGAATGGAAATTATAATAGCGAGGTTTTAGTTTGTAAACTAAAATTTTATTAAGTAACCGCTACAAATAACAATAAAAAGTACATGAGGAGTTGAACTGTTAAAATGTTTTACGGATAAATTGTTCGTTAAAAGTTAGAAAAAAAACAAAACTTTTACACTTTAAATAGATATTAAAATTCAGTGGCTCCGCTGGCTAGGAAATGTCGTGCGAATTGACGGAAACGCTCCAGCTCTGAAAGTATTCAATGCAGGTCTGCGTTCGAAAGACCAGGTGGAGAAGGACTTGGCTTCACTTGGCTTTTAGACAAGCTTTTATTGGTAAAATAAATAAAAATCTTTCCAATTGAGTAATATATATTCTAAATATGAAACAAATCGGGCCATAAATGAACTATCCCATTGTGACTAGTGGGAAATTTTTCTCCTGAATGTGATCAGTTGTGGATTATAACTACATATCGATGGTCCTCTGCAATAACGACACAATTCAAAATTCAAAAAACAAAAACTTGCTACTTACTTAACTGGTTAATGTCTCTAATCCTTGTATAATATATGTCTAATCCTTACCACTTACTGTAGTAATCCTTACTACTTGCTTTAGTAAAGATTAGACACGGATAAGGCAAGGATTATACACATTAGCCATTAACAAGGGATTCTATTTTTTGAATTCTTAATTGTGTCGTTATTGCAGAGTACCATCGATATGTCGTCGGAACAACGACAACAGCGAAATATATTTTTTGACATAGAACTTTAGCTTGTGTATAAAATTGCTTTAACAAAAACACCAAACGATTTCTTAGTTTTATGTAACTAACATTTGAGTGAATGTGACTAGTGGGACACTGAACTCTATTTTACTTTTCTGCACGCAGAGAAGAACTTGTGAACTATACGCTTTCGTTTTCAATAAAAATTAGGCATCATAGGAATATTAAAAAATATTTAAATTTGTGATTGGTGGAACATGTCCTTGTGACTGGTGTAAAGTAATTATGCATGAAGTAAAAGTTTGCATAGAGAAAAATTACAACTTCTTTTTAACCGACTTCCAAAAAAAGGAGGAGGTTATCAGTTCGTCGGAATATATATATATTTTTTTTATGTAACCGCATTACTTTGGACCACGTCAACCGCTTTCGGAAAGGTAGTGTATCGGAGGTGGTCCCATACTAATCTGGTAAGATCCGATCGGTGGATCATGAGATATATATATATATATTTTTTTTTTATATTAGAGTTGAAGTAGGTTTTTTTTTTGCTAAAAATTACTTGCTATTTTTTAATGTCGTGCAACTGGTTAATGAAATGTAGTCATTTTAAAAGAGGTTACTACTGAAATAGAGATAATTAGGGCATTTTAAAATTTATGTCGTTTTCCCCTTAACATGGAATAATCCAAACACGAATTTTCCAAATATCTCGACACCTGTGTGATGATGTGGGTTCTGAGATAAGTTGGGAGTTTCAAGTCTAGCTCATCGTGAAGTTGGTTAAAAATTGCTTGCAAGATTAGATTACACACGGTGAAACATAATAAATACTTGTAAAAATAAAATAGGTTTAAAGAGCTCTACAAAGTGACATTTCCACAAAAATTTGCGATTTCTAAATCAGTCAAAGTATTCTTTATTTTTTATTGACTTGGGTTTACATTATTATATGTATGTAGATATGTACATTTTTTTTCTTAATTTGATTAATTGTGATAACGCCACATAAACTTATAATAGAACTACTCCAAATTTCGATCAAGGTCTTTAATGCACTCACCTTTAATAGAAAGACTTCTTATAATCCGTGGCGATAGTAGAACTCTTCTTGATTTCCCCTATGCCCTAAAATGGTTGCTCGACGTTGAAATTTATGAGATTGCATGTAACTCAACTGACTAAATAGACTAGATACTCACACCTTGCTGGTAATTGGGATACCTTGTAAAAAATTTCTGTGTAGGACTTTTTTGACGATTGCATTTGAAATTATGTATTTTTTAAAGTCGTATGTATAATCTGATATTTAAAAATATACTACTTACATTTGCTTAAAATTTCGCTAATAGTCCTTCTTAAAGCAAAGCGCGAAAAAGATCAACGGTATTTCCATTTTGACTACGTATAGCAAATCAGATTTATTTTTGATTTGTTTGTATATATAGGTAAGTATATTCATATTAAGAAATTTTTTTCCAGGATTAAACGTATGTATTAATATAACTAAATATGCATTCATATGCAACGTTTATATGTAAGTATGTACAAAATGAATATAAATTAATAAATACAATATCTCTTGGAGCTACACAAATTAATTTCTTCGCGCTTAGTGGCAAGGTAGCAAGGGAACGGGTGCCCAATTAGCATTTCTATAGTCTTATGTACATATATCAGAAATTTAGCTAAATGTTCCTACTTTTTAATAAATGAACTTAATGTATATTTTTCTTTGATAAGTATGTTTAATGATATTTGCATAAACCATCATTTTACAGTTTTGCAAAAGACAGTAAAAAGACTATGCAAGTTCAGACTACTAAAGGCTTTACAATAATCACACTTCTAATTTTTATTGCTTTCTGCTTTTCCCTGACTTAATGACAGATTCGTTTTATGCTCAGGTAAGACAAATGTATATCAGATTCATACAAGTTATGTTGAATAATTTTTTATGTAGATTAAATAACACATTATTCAGATTTCTTATTTATTGTGATAATGCCTTGTTCATCTTCTTTGGTTATGTCCTTGTCACCATAGCCCCAAAGCTCGTGTGAGCCATCACCAGTACGGGCGACACGCTTCTCAATGATTTCCGAAGATACAGATTTTAAGTCGTATGCCCAACCGATTTTAGCAAAGAAATCAATGAAAGCCGTGGTTAGATTCATGGAATAGTTGCCCCATTCGGCGGTTTTGTAATCCCAGGGGAAAACGTGATGGTAATTGTGCCAGCCCTCGCCGAAGGCAAACAGCGCGACACCGGGATTTTCAGATGGGTTAATGCTCCTGCAAAATTAAATTGAATTAAAAATTTAATTTTGTGTTTCTTATATTTACTACTCACTTATCATAGGGACGACCGCCAAATTTATGCGCAGCACTGTTGACACACCAGGTGACGTTCAACAAAACGCACCAACGGAACATGGTCGCAACGAACCACGAGTTAATGAAGGACTCATCCCAAAAGTACATGGGAATAACGGTGGGCAGAATGAAGCACGCCAATGGCATCAACAACATGTAGTGTCTAATAAAGAATAAATTAACAAATTTCTCTTTATAACCTTAGTCGAAGAAACTTACTTCAACTGGAACATCAAAATGCGATCAGCGTGTAAATCAGTCAAATCTAAGCTCTTGCCCTTGGCAATCACATCCGGATGTTTCTTGCATAGCAACCAGCCAACATGCGAGAAGAAGAAGCCGCGTGTAGCATTGTGTGGATCGGCATCGGTTTCGGAGAATTTGTGATGCACGCGGTGATCACGCGCCCAGTGGTAGGCAGCGTCTTGGAAAGCGCATGTATTGAAAGCAATCAAGATAAGACGCAATGGCCATTTAGCTTTGTAAGAGCGATGGGCCCACAAACGGTGTGCGCCAGCCGTGATGCCCAAGACACCAATGGAATAGAGGAAAATCGCTGAAATACAAAAACATAAATGGAGTTATAAATAAACATCGAATCAAGATAGCAGTTCATTGAATAAAAATTGATGTGATAGTCAACTTTTGTGCGAATTTTTATTAAAATGCACCAACTACATATTCTCAAAGTATTTTTATAGTCATTATGGTTGAGTTTGTAGCAGTGCATTAAACTTCCGGCAATTAGCTACCTTTACACTCGTGCGCCGCTTAGTAATTAAATCAATTGCAATACATTAGGAAATAGGGTTTTAAACCAACAGGTGTTGGAAAAATTTACACGCAAGCAGCGTGCATGCAAATGTGCGGCTACTCAAAGTGAAATTAACACCTGGAACATTTTTTTTTTTTTGCTGATATGTAGTAAATATTGAATTAACACTACCGTAACTAAAGACGAATATCTTAATACCTAATAATAAAATACTTACAAAAGAAAACTGTTGGCCATTTCGCAGAGGTGAAGAGTAGCCAAGCTCCATATAATGCCGCAACATGCAGGTATCCGAAGAGAATTATATTTCGCCAAACCAATTTTAGTTTACGTTTTTCTGCGCGCTTACGTAGATTCACATCAATGGCCAGCGCTCCATCGGCCGTGTCGGCATCACATTCAAACAAGACGCCAGTTTGCTTAGATGGACCCAAATTATTGCCATCGGCATTCTCAGCGGATAAAGTACCCAGAGTATTGTGATTTATTGATGCATCCCTTGGTGCCATGTTGATACTAAAAACGAAAGAAACAATTCGAGAAAAGTTTGTTAAATTTTTTTTTTACAATGTCTGTGTATTTTTTTTTGAACATTTTTAATTCAAATTTTTTTAAATTATATTTTGCTTAAATTTAATTCGAAGCTTACGGCTTTTTCACTCAATATTTATTAAATATGTATGTATGTACATACATATGTATGCATATATGTATGTATGCACATATCATTATCAACAAATTTGCAGTATTGTCTATTTTTTCTATGCATTATTGTGATATTTTGCCTAGATTAGCTGAAGGCATGACCTTTACTACCAAACAGCCACTTTTCTAATAAATCTGTATTTTTTTTTTTATATAGCAGAAGTTGACGACTGATCACGTGTGAATTGTTGCATATTGCATGCACATACATGCCTATCTTTTTTGCTAATGAAATATTTTTCGAAATATTCCATGACAGCACATATACTGCTCCATAAGAATGTGTAATGTTTATTAAACACGCCCTGCAGGAAAATAATCAATTTAGCGCACGTATGCCGCCGCTGTGACTAAAACTGATTATTGAATACATATGGGACAAATATGGGACATTAAATTACGAACATTTTGCACCCCGTATAAACCAAATAAATCAACAGAAATTTACTAAAAAAGAGGACTGTTCCGAATAATATCGGACGGACCGTCACCGTACTCATTACGCTTACATAATCATTCTAAATCTGTTACATTTACATATACATGTATGTACATTAGGTTGGTCATTAATATCAAATGAACGGTTTTTTCAGTCTCCTCTCCTCAATCACTAATACCACGGTTACAGATATCACATATAAATATTGTTTTGCACATGGG